TTGTCTTTTGAGACAGGGTCTCACTATGTAGTTGAGACTGACCTGGAAGTCACTATGTAGCCTAGGCTGGTCTCGAACTCACAGTGATCCTCCTGCCTCAGCCTCCTGAGTACTGGGATTACAGGCATGCTCCACCACGCCCGGCTAAGGCTCATTTTTAATTCACTCTCATAGTATAGGCATAGACATTTGGGGTCATGGCCTTATAGGGACGTTTCCAAATTCATCTCCCATTGTGAATGAATTTTGGGCTGTCTTCTTTCTCACAAGCTTATGAACTCCTTGAAAACTAATACTCAGGTTCACTGGGTATAGCAATTGCCTTGAATGTGAAAGGCAGCTACAGATATTTGCTTACTTTTGTAACTTTTTGCTTTTATTTCTTTATTTGGCCTCAATATTTGGATTTTTGCCAGCTCGTGAATCTATTAATAAACAGTCAGACAGACATTTTTAGTTGTTTTGGGCAAGTTTATCCCAAGTCCCTAAGCCACCATCTTTCAAGAAAATCCAGTGGGTAATTTTCAGTCCTTGTGTGACTTGATTTTTCTGGTGCATTTGCCTTTGTTGCTAATTCTTCTGTCTTGTTTTTTTCCCTGCCTCTCTGACCACTTCTTTTTGGTCTCCTTACCATCTTGCTCCTCTTCCTAGTCTTTAAATGCTAACTCCAGGGCCTTAGCTGCTACTCTTATCCCTCTCATCACCCTACTCCTTTGGCTTTAAGCTGGGACTCCCATATCTCTTTGGCCCAGATGGCCCCAAATTCTAGACCTACACATTCAGCTGCCTGTACCTTCCTTGCCTTCTGAAGGTGTCACAGGAACATTAAATTGGAATGTACAAGCTGGGTGTGGTGGCGCACGCCTGTAATCTCAGCACTCAGGAGGCTGAGGCAGGAGGATCACTGTGAGTTCGAGACCAGCCTGGGCTACATAGTGAATGTAAAATGAAAAATTTTTTTATCTGAAATTCAAATTTAACTGGTTGTCCTGTACCTTTACCTGGTACCCTTACCTTCACGTCCACATCCAGCTGTGGTTTCCCCATTGTCAGAACATGGTTCTGTTCTCATTGATCTCTGAAACCTCACATCATGAGAGCCCAATGCATGACAGTTAGTACTCAGTTGAAGTTCAGAGATTGGTGACTTCTCTAGCTGTGAAGTTGAAACTGATTGGAGAGAGCTGAGACTAGACACAGAGACCAGTTAGGAGGATGAGTAGTAAACCATCCAAAAAATCTATGAAAACTTCAACAGAATGGCATTGGGAATAGAGAAGAGGGGATGGAACTGTAACATCTGAGGATTTGGTGACCAGTAGATAAAGGATATGGCAGAGCACAAGGAGTCTAGGGTGTTGCCTAAATTTTTGCCTTGTGTCACTAGGTGAAGGTTGGCACATTTATGAAGGAAGGAACATGAAGTGGTTTGGAAGCTGGAAAGCTGGGAAGCTTATTGATGTGGGGCACAGAGCAGCATGGAGAAGGGTAGAGAGTGGATTTGAAGGAGCAAACTGAAAACATCAGAGCAGATACATGAAACCTGAGGTTTCCAAGGATCTATGGATAAACATATTGAAATTAGACTCAGGCTCAGGAGAAAGGTCTGGAAGGGAAATAAAATGAATGAGTTAGCTAGCACAGATGTGGTAACTGAAACCATGGGAGTTGATAATGTTGCAGAGAGAGAGAAAAAAAAGGGGAAAAAGATGATTTCAGATGCCCAACACCTGTAATCCCAGCCCTCTGGGAGGCTGAGGCAGAAGAATCAAAGTTTGAGCCCTAGGCAATTACTGACTTAGCAAGATCCTGTCTGAAAAATGTTTTCAAAATGGCTGGGGATGTAGCTCAGAGTGAAGGCCCTGGATTCTATCCCTAGTTAACCCTCCCCAAAAAACAGACAAAGAGAGGAAGAGGAACCCAAAAGTCAGAATGAGCAGCTGGAGGAGCGGAAACCAAGAGAGTGAGAGATCAAGAAAGTCATGGGAAGATAGATTCTCAAGGAGAGCTGACAAAACGAAGTGCTTCTGGGAATTTAAAGAACTGAAAGGCTGAAAAGTAGCCTTTTAGTTTAGCAATGATAAGGCCCTGGTAGCCCCAGCAAAAGCTCTCATGGTGAAGGAGAGGTGAAAGCAAAACAGATCCCTCTCCCTCCCTCCCTCTGTCTTTCTCTATTGCAGCATCAATTTTTTTATGATGGCATATATTCGAGCCAGTAGAAATACAAATGGGAAGGAGATATGAGATAGAAAAATGTTGAAGAGTAGAAAGTGTTGTAAATAATGGAGACAGAAAGCCCTGCTATTGGAGTTTGAGCACAGTTGGAGGAATCCATCCAGCCATGGTCGTGGTATATGGACTACGTTGTGGTATATAAACTAGGGCATCACAATGTGGGTCCACTGAATGAGCTTCAGAAAGCCTGTGCCCCCTGAATACATTTACCCTGATTTATTCATCACCTACCTTTCCAGTATTTTCATAGCTTTCATTTGATTTGGTCTATAGCTTTCGTTATATTCTCAAAGGACTCCACAAGACTAAACTAGCTGGAGAACAAAGATGATCACATGGCAAAAATTCTCCTGAATCTTTTCTCTGATCACTCAATTTCTTCCCCCACCTCTCCCTTCAAGATGAGACTTCAGTTAGGCAGCTAGTCCACATATACTATATCACTGGGACCTCTGGCCAAGGACAAGAAAAATGGAAAGTTACGGGGAGTTTAGCTCAGTGGTGCCACATCTGCCTCGCATGCGCCAAGTCCTGAGTTCGATCCCTGGTACAGAGAAAAAAACGAAAGGAAAAGAAAAATGGAGTCACTGCCAAGGCATCTGCTGGACCAGGTAGCTGTGAGCAGGGGTATACATTGGACCTGGAGCCACATATCCTGGATAAAATAAACCTAGAGGGGAGTTTGAGGTATTCCCTGGAGCTGGAAGGATTGTCATTTCCAAGCTACCTATAATTTTCTGTCTTGTAAAAGTGTGTGACTTGATACCCCTTTGGACACCATTTCCTAGTTCTGGGAAGGCTACTTAAGGGGCAGTGTGGTTTTTGAGATGAAGCAAAGACCAGAGTCAGAGAAGGAAGTACCAGAAGCCCCCTTAGCCAGAGCTCAAGGATGTTGCTTGGGGTGGTCATGTGATAGGTTACCTTGGCAAAATTGTAAACAAAGGCAGTTCTCAGTCTGTTTCCTTTGGGAAGTTGGTTTTGTTTGTTTGTTTTCCTTTTGAGAGAGACTTGGATTGTCCTGATCTACAAACTGGGGCTACTTCTTGTGGGAATGTGTTCTTTTTGGAAGAGTTGTAGTTTCCTCTAGGACTTTGTGAGATATTTGCAGAAATTTTCTGGGCCCCAGACTAAAACTGCAAGTGTGGGAGGGGGCCTACTCCTGAAGGACTGGTAATTTGGGGAGGGGTAAGAGTCCCCACTTGGCTTGGGTTCCAGTCTGGCTCTCTCACAGAGATAGCTTTTTTCACTCTCCTCTAAGCAACTGAGAGCAGCAGTGGCAGGGTCTGGAAGATTTGAGGACCTCGAGGGTTTGAGAACTAGGCTGGATTTCAGATTTTCCCAGCAGGGTGCTCCTTGCCCCAAATGTTCCCAGAATTGACAAAATGTTCCCACTATCACCCCCCAATCGGCTCTCTGCAAACCTTATGACACTGATGCCATTTCTTTTGGGGTACTGTGTGGAAACAGGATTCTGGATTAGTTTTGTAGGCAGAGTGAGGGGTCAAGGACATGTTTCAGGGTAAAATAGGACCAAAGTTTTTGGGGCACCTAGAACTGTGTGAACACAGAAAAGGGGAAGCATAGGCACAGTTCATGTCCTTGACCCCGAATGGGCCCAGCCCTCAGAGCTCTGGGCTCCCTAGTAGTCTGGATGAAAGGGCACCTCACCAAAGCAGGCGGGTATGCAGGAAAGAGTTGCTGTCAACGGAGTTAAATGCCTTGGATCCGGCTATCGACACTGTCTCTCTCCTCGGGATGGGCCACACCTTCTGCACGGAGGCTTCTCGAATCTGTTTCATCCAGACTCCCAACCTCCAGACCAGCATAACCCACTGCCTCCTGACAATCCCTCTGCATGTCCCACAGTCCCTTGACTGTAGAAACCTTTCCAAGTACACATCCCTGTCTTATCACAAAAGAAGGAAAATCACATAGGTTTTGCTAATACAAATGCCTAGGACCTGGGAAACATGAAATGCAGGAAAGCTAGGGGACTGCATTGATCTTTTGGAGATGACTTGGGGACAGTATGAGAGGGTATTCTGTGAAAGTATATGCAACTTCACCTCCGTGTGGGTGTGCACTGTTGGGGCTACATCCCCATCCCTTTTTAAAATTTTTATTGTGACACAGGGTTTCTCTAAGTCACTAAGTTGCCCAGGCTGTGCTTGAAGTTGGAGTATTCCTACCTTAGCCTCAGAGTGCTGTGATCACAGATACCACCCTGCTTGGTGCTTCCCATTTTTATTTTTTTTAAATACCATTTGCCAAATGGAATTTAAATAATTATATATGTAATTGCTTATTTATTGTCTGTCTCTCCTGGTTTAAGCTTAAGAGCGGGGATTATGTCTGTCTCACTTCCATATCCTTAGTATCTATCCAGAGGCTGACATAATTGATTAAGAGTAAATAAACATTTGTTGGATGAATAAATCAGTACCCTTTTTCATCACCCTAAATGAAATCCCTCTGTGTTACTGAGTCCTTTCCTGCCTTCTGATCCCTGTGAGGCTCTGTGCATTGCTCCTCCAAACCAGCACCTCAGAGCATCCTTTTCACACTTTCAGCCTTTTTTCAGTCGCTGTCTTGCCCTAGGCTGCTTCATGGAACGAAGGTAGTGAGCTTGCTGTGCTAGACCATCTGCAAGTGTATACCTGTCAGGGTGGCTTCACATCAGCTCTCTGGAGGCAGGACACTGATCAGTGACGGCGGGTGATGTAATGAGGTTTTCTCTCTTTACCTACTAAGCAGGGGCCCCACAGTCACAGGAGTTTTCTCCACAGAAGTTGTTAGGTTCCCCCCCCCAGGTAACCCAGGCCCCATGTGTTGGGAACTACAGGAGGTGTGAGTGCCCTGTGAATGCACCTTTGCCCCCCCCCACTCTGCCTGGGTTCCACGTCTCCCATCCTGGAGCTGTTGGGAAGGGACAAGCAGTGGGAGATGCGGGCCAGGCCTGTGACGGCTGAGTCAGTGAAGTATGTGAGTAAGCAAGCAGAGATGAGAGCACATCTCCAGCCAGCTCCTTACCCATCTCCACGGCCCAGGAAACAATCTGACAGACCACTAAAGTAAATAAATAACTTAGAAATAATAAATAGGGATCCAGCTCCTATCAGTGAGGATAAAACCATCTCCAGCACAGGCACTTTCAGCCAAGTTCCATCCACCCAGGGCCTGGGCCACTGCTGCGTGCCCTAGAGGCATCTCAGGTTCCAGGCCTGGCCACTACCAGAGTCTGTGAGAGGTGGGTGTGAAGGCCTCAATAGCTGAGGTCTCTGCTGTCTGTAGGGCTGGATCTCCAGGGTCAGCACCTTGAAGTTGATGGTCAGTCCAACTACCCTTTCTCCTCTCCTGGGTCCTGCGTCAGCTCTGAGGCTTCCATCACTGGCTGAGGCTCCTGGTCAGTAGGGCCCTGTGGGAGGGCCACAGGCTGGTGCACATATGAGGGTCCAATCCACAAGATCTTGGAGAGAACTCTCAGCCTAGGCAGCCGCAGGCAGTTGCTGAGAGGCGGTCCACGGTCCTCCAGGTGCTGTTGACATCCATGAAGGAGACAGCTTCATAGTGAGTGGGCCGGCAGCAGGGCTGGGTGACTGGCCAGGAGCCTGGGGGCGGTCCAAGGGCCCCAGCTCCCAGCAAGCTGGCCAGGCTGAGGTCATGGGGGGAACGAGCGCGACGGCAGGAGCCGCTGCAGAAGCGGAAACGCACCAGCTCATTGGAGCTGTGGCCCAGGCCCAGCGCGCGCACCGGC